GTAATTCCTCAAGATACCCGGAATTCAAAAGAACTGGAATGATGCCAGGATGATGCAGGGATGATGCAGGGATGGACGGGGTTATGTGCGACGTCGTGTGAACACACGGAAAAAAGAACCGGAATGGTGCAGGAATGATGCAGGATTCTTTCTGCTTTAGGGCCAGTGTGATAACGTCCTAGGATTTGTCTGTAGTTACCGGTATGTTCTGCAATAAACTATTGTATACAACTAAGATGTGTTTTATTGTAATTTTGTGCTGGCCACAAGGCTGTAATAAAGAAATTGAATTGAATTAAACTACTTGGGAAATATGTGTGTAGACAGATAGGTACAGATCCTCACTCTTTTGTTACATCAGCAACTTCATGAAGACAATATGTGAAGACTATAGGGTAGAAAGGCAGGCTTATTATCCCTTTGCCCTTGCTGATACACCTCTTTTTCAGTCTACCACCTATACTGAACATTTCTTTCAGATAAAAACATTTATTTCATATTGAAAATGATTTTCCCCATCAGTTATCAGTGAAACATCTGTAAATATGAAGACTCTTATAAGCCCAATGTGTACTTAGAAGTACTCTACATGTGTTCATTGTAGCTGTTTTGATTGCCATGGAATCTGATCTATTGGGCAAAACAGGCAAACATGATAAGATAAAGTAGTAGCTCTTAAAAGTGTTGTTTGAATGTGCAGTGGTCTTGTGTGCAAAGTGATAAAAACTCTACTATAGCCACTAGGTGGCATTATCATTGTTACATTTGAGAGTAAACTGCTGATTCCTTTCAAAGTTTGTTTTCTTAGCAAAAATAAAGAATATGTTTCCTACTCTGGACTGACATTCTTGTGTACATTGCACCACCATATTTGGGCAGACCATGCTATACATGACTGCCACAAAGTATTACAGTAGTCATCCTTTGCATGTTGCTATGGCTATAAAAACTTCTAAGATTATGGCAACATCTGTATTGGCCAGATCTCCACATGGGGCTTTTGCAAGTGATCTTTCTTCCTTCCCCCCTCCGTAGCATAGGGATACTTCCACTAATCACTTTTATAGATTTATAATGTTTAAGGAAAAGGACTTTTTTTTTAAAAAAAGGGACATCTGAAATAGAATATATTTTAGTTTGTTCCTTTCAAATTTCTAACCACCTGTCATAACCTCTGCAGTAACACAATTCAACTGAATTTCTGGGTCACTTTTTGTGGTCAAACAAGGTGCTCTGTTGACTCTAATCATATTCACAGGCATTAAATGACAATGTGTACCATCAGTGGAAATTAAATCCATAAAATTTAAATGGAACATTATTAACTTGGTTTTCTTACAGAAGTATGTATGAGGACAGAGTACCAGATAGGCTCCATGTCCTAATGTCTCTGGAACAACAGAAAACAGGCTTGTTCCATTTTCAGTATGATATCCTTTCAAATATTTAAAGATGGCTGTCATGGCACCTCTTAATCTTTTCTTCTACAGCCTAAACATACCCAGCTCCCTAAGCTGCTCCTCATAGAGAATGGTTTCTGGACCTTTTACCATTTTGGTCACCCTCCTCTGGACACACTCCAGCTTGACAAACCTTGACAAACCTTTCTTGAATTGTGGTGCCTAGAACTGGACACAACATTCTAGGTGAGGTCTGATCAAACCAGAATAATTTAGTACTCTTAGGGCCTTTACAGACTGCCAGAAATAATGCAACTTGAGTCCACTTTAACTGCTCTGGCTCAGTGCTAAGGAATCATGGGAACTGTAGTTTATTGTGGCACCAGAACTCTTTGACAGAGAAGGCTCAATGTCTCAAAAAAAACTAAGGGGGGAAGCAGACGGAGGCACCGGAGATGCCGCCGGACGGAGCGCCATGGGAGTGCAGCCTCCACACCGTGGCGCTCCAGCGGCATCCCTGGAAGGAAAAGCGTAGGGCGCACTTTCCCTGCCTTTTCCGCCGCAGCGCATGCGGACACTGCTGCGGGAGGTTGTCCCCGGAGCGCCAGCCGTGCGGAGGGCCGGCGGTTCCGAGGACGACCTCAGGAAGAGGAAGGGGCGCCGCGCGTGCAGCTGCCCCTCCTCTTCCTTGCCTCGAAGACGACTCAATTAGTCGTCTGCCGAGGCCCTAAATTCCCATGATTCCCTAGAACTGAACCAGGGCAGTTAAAGTGGACTCAAGTTTCATTATTTCTGTCAGTCTGTAAAGGCCCTTACTTTCCTTGATCTAGATAGTATACTCCTATTGATGCAGGATAAAATCACATTGAATGTTTAAGCTGCCACATCACACTGTTGACTCATTCTGCTTGTGGTCTAAGATTCCTAGATCCCTTTCACATGTACTGTTTTCAAGCCACATGTTGGTCATCCTATATCTGCACTTTTTTAAAAAAATTGTACCTGAGTGTAGTATCTTGCATTTCTTCCTGTTGAAATTCATTTTGTTAGTTCTGGTCCAGCTCACTAACCTGTTAAACTCATTTTGAATTCTGATCCTATCTTCTGGGTTATTAGCTACCCCTCCTAATTTGATCTCATCTGCAGATTTGATATGAATGCCTTCTGTTCTATCATCCAGGTTATTTAAATCTAGGCCCAGCACAGAACCCCACTAGTCACTTATCTCCAGGATGAAGGGGAGCCACTGGTGAACACCCTTTGGATTTGGCCAGTCAGCCAATTACAAATCCACTTAACAGGAGCATTGTTTTGCCCACATTTTATTAGCTTGATTGCAAGAATATAATGGGAGACCTTGTCAATGGCTTTACCGAAATTAAGATAACCTGTTGTTGTTGTTGTTGTTGTGTGCCTTTCAAATCATTTCTGCATTATGGTGATCCTCAGGTGAACTTGTCATGGGGCTTTCTTGGCAGGTTTCTTCAGAGGGGGTTTGCCATTGTCCTCTCTGAGACAGAGTGTGACTTGTCCAATGTCACCCAGTGGGTTGCCATGGCTAAGTTGGGATTCGAACCTTGGTCTCCAGAATCATAGTCCAAAGTTCAACCACTACACCACATTGGCTCAAGATACTCTACATCCACAGCAGTCCTTCATCTACCAAGCTTATAACTCTATCAAAGAAAGACAGAGAGAGAAAGAGAGAAGATTAATTTTGGCATGACTTGTTTTTGAGAATCCCATATTGACTTTTTGCAATTATGGCATTCCTTTACAGGCTGTCTGTTTCATGATCTGCTCTAGAATCTTCAATAGCTTCTTCATCAGGCAAAGATGTCACAAATCATACAGAAGAAGAAAAGTGATGCTACTTTAGTTTTCTGTGGATTTTCCTGGGTATGTGGCTGCATTTTGTGAGAATTTATTCCTGACCTTTTGACTGCAACTGTGGCTGGCATCTTCAAAGGCCTCAGGGTGAGAGGATATGTGTCTATTGAATTAGCAATCAATTGCCTGTGGGGAAACCCCTTGACCCTGGGTGGTGTTCATTTGCATGAATTGAGTCTTGATTTTGGTGTTTTTCAGGACTGGTAGCCAAACTTTCTTTACATTCAGCGTTTCTTCTTTCCTGTTGGTCCAGAATTTCAGCTGCATTTGGTGGTCCAAATGTAGACTTGTCCAGACCCTCTCACTGCCTCAGGAGTTTACTGCATACTGAGCAGCTGTGGAAAAGTCTATTTAGGGACCACCAAACACAGCATTCAAACACCAGTTTTCATTGCTGGTGGAAGCAAAGGGGCAACACTGGCATGACACCCAGTGTTGCTGGGCCATAGGAAGAAGCATACATATATAGCTAATATGATCCAGAAAATCTTTTGAAGTCTCCATGAAGCCTCTGGAGCCACTTTGAGCTCCTTGGAGCAACTGTAGCATATAAATGCAATAAATAAATTTGACACATGCAGCCTATATAGGTTAATTACTGACATAGTGGTTTGACTGTTGGACTAGAAGTCTGGCAGACCAGAATTCAAATATCCACTGTGTGGCCTTGGGCAAGTGGCATTCTCTCAGCCAAAGACAAGGGCAAGCTTCTTTTAAATAAATCCTGCCAAGAAAACTCAGCGATAAGGTTACCATAAGCTGAAGTTAATTTGAAGGCATAAAACAACAACAAAGTGAACATACTGTCCATTTTTGGTATTGATATTGTCAATATATAAGCAAATTTCAAAGAATGGGCTGAAAAACCAGTAGAGCCTATCGAATTCAACATAAAACAATAGTTGTTATGTATAAGTAACCAACTATCAATAGTTTAGTTAAAGGAAAAGTTTGAATACGAATTTTGCTTATCCATTATGTGCAACATTGGTTTGTGTTTTCAATATGATTAGATATAATTAGATTTCTCTAGAATTCTTAATGTTAATATTTGTTGTTGTTGTTAACTGCCCTCGAGTCAATCTCGACTCATGGCGACCCTATGAATGAGACATCTCGAAGACCCTCTGTCCTCCACTGCTCTGCTTAATTCCTGCAACCCCTTAATACCTTTGACCTCCTTAATTGAGTCCATCCATTTGGCATGTGGCCTTCCTCTCTTCTTCCCTCCCTCCCTTCACCTTTCCCAGCATTATTGTCTTTTCCAACGAGTCCTCCCTTCTCATGATGTGTTCAAAGTACAACAGCCTCAGTTGGGTCATCTTGGCTTCCAGGGAGGTTTCCAGCTTGATCTGTTCTAGCACCCATTTGTTTGTCCTTTTGGATGTCCATGGGATCCTCAGCACTCTTCTCCAGCACGACATCTCAAAGGAATTTGATTTTCTTCCTGCTATCTTTCTTAACTGTCCAGCTCTCACATTCATACATGGTAATAGGGAATACAATGGTTTGTATGATTCTAACTTTTGTTCTGAATTGTATATCTTTGCATTTTAGAATCTTTTCTAGTTCTTTCATAGCCATCCTCCCCATTCTTAATCTTCATATGATTTCCTGACTGCAATCCCCATTTCTATCAATGCTTGACCTCAGGTATGGGAATTCTTCTACTATTTCTATTTTTTCGTTGTTTAGGTTGAACTTGTGAAGGTCCTCGGTGGTCATTATTTTTGTTTTCTTTGTTCAACATTAAGCCTGCCTTAGCACGTTCTTCTTTAGTAGGTGTTCCAGGTCTGTGAGGTTTTTTGCTAGTACTATGGTATCATCTGCATATCTTAGATTGTTGATATTCCTTCCTCCTATTTTCACTCCTCCTTCTTCTGTGTTCAAGCCTGCTTTTCTTATAATATGTTCTCCATACAAGTTGAACAGATAGGCTGAAAGGATACAGCCTTGTCTGACCCTTTTGCCAATTAAGAACCATTCTGTTTCTCTGTGTGCTGTTCTGACAGTAGCCTCTTGTCCTGAGTAAGATTCCTCATCAGGACTATCAGATGTGTTGGCACTCCCATGTCTTTAAAAGCATTCCATAGCCTTTCATGATCTATGCAATCAAAGATTTTGCTATAGTCTATAAAGCACATGCTGATTTTCTTTTTGAATTCTCTGGTGTGCTCCATTAGCTATTGTATGTTTGTAATGTGGTCCCTAGTGCCTCTTCCTTTCCTGAACCCTGCTTGGACCTCTGGGATCTGTCTTTCCATGTATGGTTGGAGTCTATGTTGCAGAATTTTGAGCATGATTTTGCTTGCGTGGGAGATCAGTGCTTTGGTTCTAAAGTTGCTGCAGTCTCTTGTGTCTCCCTTTTTGTAGATGGGGATGTATATTGATCACTTCCAATCTGTTGATCATTGTTTTGTTTTCTATATCTGTTGACATATGTTGGTTAGCACTAGAGTTGACTCTGTCAATGTGGATTGCAGCAGTTCAGTTGGAATATCATCTGTTCCTGGTGATTTGTTTTTCACTATTTCTGTTATTGCAGTTTCCACATTTTTAGAATTTGATAGAATTTAGAAGTTAACTTAATTAATTAATATTAATAATATTTAGAAGTTAATATTAACACTTCCTTTTAAGATACGCTATGAACAGAATAGTATTTTTTATGAAGTCCTGTCTGGTGCACTCCAAATTTTTTGGACTACAATTCCCATTGTTTGGAGTCATCATGAACATTGACCGTATATGCTGGCGAGGTCAGGACTCATTGTCTCATTATAATGGGAGAGAAGGGGGAACTAATTTGGGAAAAGCTGTTTTAGGACAAATATAGAAAATACACAGATAAAAGTCTTTTCAAAGAAAATAATGGATCTATCACTATCTTAAAGCAGAAAAATTATAGTCAGGCTGCCGTATCCACAGATTCAAGCATCTAAATCTTGAAAAAGTTTTTACTCCAAAGAGCAAAACCTGATTGTGTCATCTTATATAAAGGACATCATTTTGCTACCCAATTGTATATAATGGGCCTTAAGCATCCTTGGATTTTGGTATTCCTGGGGAGTCCTTGAACAAAACCCCAGCGGATACCAAGGAGCCACTGTATAACCTATGCTATTGTATATATCCAGATGTGAAAGGGTCTCTGAAGTAAATTTCAGCGCTACAAGACAGCAGCCTCCTGTAGAATTTATATTTTATAATAAAAAATATCTATAGTTCTCAATGGGTACATTGTATGTAACTGCAAGCAGTATACTTGCTCTGAGGGAGACACTCCACAATCATATCACAAAAATTTAAAATCAAGAGATATATACCAGTTCAATATGCCCACACAGTTGCTATCTTCTGAAAATACATTTGGCTTACATGATCTTGTTAAAATAAAATGCATATAGAATTCCCATTTCTATTAATAGCAAGGACTCACCATTCATTTTGGAAAATACAGCCCAGATCCAAACATCATGCTCTCCACCACCACCCCTCCAACAGCAACACCTAATGGATGATTTTCCTAAATGGCACACAAGATGGCAGGCTGCAGTGGCAGGGAACAATCTGCAGAGATCAGGAACATACTGCACCCTAGTAAAGTGAGGGCAAAATTGATAACAGCATTCTCAGGCTGTGCACATGGTTTAGATGAGTCCCACATTCTGAAGAGGATCAGCCTGATTCTGTCCAATCTGGAAAGGGTTCAGACTAGATCATGTTAGACTGAATGGGTGCCAGAGCAGCTCATATGGTCCCAAAGCAATCTGGTGCTTTTCAGAATGCTTCAGAACAGATGATGTTTTGGCATGGTGGGGGCAGCCTGAGAAATGCAGTTTTCCCCCAGCTTGAGGCACTACAGTAGTCTCTTCATGGTGTGATGGAAAGAAATTGGCAGGGAGCTGAGTGACAGTCCAAGCTTGCAGTCCATGTCAAATTATAATCATGTCATGTTATAATTTTGTGAAACTTTATAATGGGGCATTTGCAATGAGAGTTTTGTGTGATATCATTGGAGTTATACATTCTCCTGTTTTCTGATTTCCCCTATTACTTAGCTCAGGAGTAGGCAACCTTTCCCCTTTAAGGGCCAAGGGACTTCAGCTCCCAGAATCCCAGGAGCTATTGGCCAACATGGGACTATTGGCCAACATGGCTGAGGCTTCTGGGAGCTGAAATCCCTCAGCCCTTAAAGGGGAAAGGTTGCCTACCCCTGACTTAGCTTATGGAGTGCTTGGGGTCTAGCTACAAATTGTGAAGACTAGAGAGCTGTGCATATGTATGTGTTTGCATGTTATTAGCTTGGAGAAATAAGAGAACAAAGTATTTCTTTATCATACTTTTTAGATTTAAGAAGTCATCGTGCTTTTCTGAAAAAAAAAACTTACATGTGTACATTTCTGAGAGGCAGCTTAAAATGGGAGAGGGTTTCTTCCCCTTAGCTTATATTTGTTTGACTTTTCTCAAACTGCATATATGAAAGCACTGAAAATGGTTTCCCCCCCTCATTCTTCTTGCACTTAAATTTATTAAACTATTTTGATGAAATAACCACCTGTTTTTGACTGGGAGGGACTTCCATTTAGGGACTTTCTAGATTTTTACAATAATTATATGCTCTTGCTCCCACCACCAGGTCTGGGGGTCTATCCATTCAAAAAATTAGTAACATAATAGTTTGGTATTTCTCTGTTTTAATGTAACCTTTATATGCTTGTGTTCAGTAGTTAGTT